TGAAGGTTCAACAGCACTGAAAAAAATGACTTATTACTATTTTTCATACTTAAGACAGTTGCAGCATCCCCATGATCATGTGATCAAATTTGAGACACTTGGCAACTGACTCATTTATGACGGTCATCCTGGAGTCATGTGATCACCTTTCGCTACCCTCTGTCAAGCAAAGTCAAAGGGAAGCCACATTCACTTAACAAATGTGTACTCACAACAACTGCAGTGATTCACTTAAAAACTGGCAAAAAAAGATTGTAAAAATACAACAAAACTCACTTAACAACTGCCTTGGTTGGCAACAGAAATTTTGGGCGTGTGATTGTAAGTTGAAGACTTCCTGTATTATAATTTACGATGTAGGGATGCATACAAGCTTTATTTAAGGCAGCCCCTTGTTATAAAAATTTTTGAAGACAATGATGAGAGAAAAACTGTCATTAACTAAATACATGTTGCACTTCAGAAAGCTTACCCTTTCTCGACAGCTAAAATTAACAAAAGACCATATGAGTATGGCCAGTCTTTGCTTTCTTCAAATAAATACAGGAGTTTATAAGGATTCTTACACTCCTAACTTAATTAAGGCATTATATTAGCATTCTCTCTGTGCAATCCACTTCCATCTTAAACAGTAGAATCAACATCTTATCTGGATTCATTGTCAGCATTTTAATATCACCTGCAAGCAGTAAACATATTGATGTTTACTGCTTGTAAACATCTTTTTTCCCCTTTTTGTCCCTTTGACTGTTCACCTAAATTGGATGCTAACCTTTGTAGGAAACTTATTCTACCCACTATATGAACTAGAAGGAGGCTTCATCTATGAATGCAGTGTATACCAGTTTTTTGTTTACATATTTATTCTGTCACATTATCATGGAAAAATTATATGTAATTTTATATGTTGCATGTCAGTAATAAATATAAGAATGGATCAAAAAGAAATGAAACAAATATTCCACTTTTTGATTAAGTACTTCAGTGGACTTATCACTATGCTAGCTGATTGACCATTTTATCTATTATAATTTTAGAAAGAAAGAAAAAGTCTCCAAAAACATTAAAATTCTGTATGTAATGTTTAATAAAGTCATTCATCCAATTAAATATACCTAAGTGTACAGACTTCACTTAGACTAAATATATCGTGTGTAAAAATAACAGAAATTATAATAATTGCATGTTAAATGTCATTCATCAAAAGTGCTTATACGTAAAAGAATACAAAAATACTTCTACTAAACTGTAATATTTAGTCATTTTGATCCCTTATGTTTTAAAAATTATCTTGACTTAAGAAAATTATTTATACATATTTTAGTTTTCCTTCACAAGAAGAATTGCTATTTATTTGCAGCCCTTTTATCTGGTTACTTTTGTACATAATATATCATGGTATCTTAAGTTGTAATGAATTCCAGGGGGAAAGATTATTCACATTAGGCAATAATTTATCCTATGTTTCTTCCTCATTTTTCTTTAATTTATGTTGGTTAATCATTTGCTAGAAAGAAGGGGAATAAATTGTCCATTGCCTTAAAATTTGTTAGGATGAAAATTCAGTAGATAATCCTTTTGGGCTGATTCCATTTGCACCCACTATGTTAACCTCAAAGCAAAGTAATTTCTCAATCTTCTTAAGCTTTTTGGGAAAAAGAATCAGACGGGAGGAAAAACAACTGTTATTCTTAGACCCTGTGCAAGTAAAGGGATTTATACTCATTCAAAAAAAATCCAAGCCATTATCTCTTGCTGAATTGAATATCCAATTAATATATTATTTATAATGCATTTATAGTAGTACTCTTTTAGATTAATTATCTCAAGTGGAACCAAAGCATGGATTATTAACTGCTAATTTTTCTAATTGTATTGTTCCAGTGTGATATGTAAAACATAATCTTTACAGAACTTGTAGCTTTGAAGTATAATGACTTGTCAATATGTAATCACTAGGTGAGTTACATATCTGATTTATTGCTTGCCATAGTTGCCAAGAAAAAAATGCTATGGCCTCTTAACCTATTTTGCTATATTTGCTATATTTGCTTGCTTTTGTTATGAAACTTTGGAAGATCAAATAAGTAGAAATGAAATTCACTATGAGAAAACTGGATTTACAGCAAGATACCATAAAGATTTGGTATTATTGGAAAATAAAGATCCTTAATCTTTTATGGGATTTCACCTCATATTTCAATTTCTTTCCTATTTACAGAATTTATCTTACTGATGTGATGAACAAAACTATGTAAATATATTGTTGATACATCAAATACAGAAAAAAATTGCAAAGAAAATGGACCATGCTCTATAGCCAAAACAATGTAAACAAAATCACTATTCCATTGTACATTTTTATTTTATTTTATTTTATTTTATACACATAAGCACATCAACAGAACACATAAACACATTAACAAAAATAACCACATGACTTAAAAACAACATAGGAANTTTATTTTATTTTATACACATAAGCACATCAACAGAACACATAAACACATTAACAAAAATAACCACATGACTTAAAAACAACATAGGAACAAGAAGTTCCATCGTATATCATACAGCAGTTCCGAATCGGTTTCTTTGCAGTTAGTGTTTTCCTTTCTATACATTTCTATCTTGCGTTTGTAAGACGTTTGTAAAATGTTTGTACATTTTTTCATATAGTTTTAGAAATGAAAATAAAAACTGAAATAAACTAATATAATGGAAAAAATCAAAATAAATCACAGAAAAGAAGAAAAATAGAAAATAAAGATACAAGATAGCTTCTACCCTTCTTTACTGTTTGTACCAAGTTTGCCTTGGTACTCTAAAACAACACGACTCTCTTTCTATAATCTATCCAGTCTAATTATCAAAGAAGTCAATTTGGCTACCTCAGCAAGTTCAATCATTTTCACTAACCATTTATCCATTGTGGATAATGCTAAATCTTTCCAAGTTTGTATATACAATGTACAACAACAAAATTCCATTACTTTTTTCAAACTCCCCGTCAATTCCAATATAAAAGCTCTGATCACAATTGTTTATTTTACCATTACTTTAAAATCCTTTGAATCAATGTATCTATTTTAATCCTCTTTTTTTAAAGCTTTTTTACTTGTCCACCAAATATGATAAAATGTCCTTTTTTGTTGTTCACAAGGACTCAGGAGGATTCTTGTTATTATAATGAATTCGGGAAGAAGAGTCCAAATTTTGCAATGTTGATATTCAGTTAAGTACCAGATGTTTTTCAATTTCTTATGAACATGATTATTTTGGTGAATTGCATTAATTCATTTAAGGTATTTGGCTTATATTGGTATTTCCATTTACTAACTGTAGATACTCAAACTATTTTCCCAGCTGGTTGAGAAGGGGAAAAAAGATTGAAATGACAAACATAAGTTGGGCGGGAGCCTGGAAAAGAGAGAAAGATTCAGCAGCAACACTTCATATCACTACGTGAAATACTCCTGAAAACTCAATTGTTCCAGTGATGAAACATAGAAGTTGCATAACTTCCTTTCTCCTTGTCTTCACCAATATTTCATCAGTGTGTATACTTTTAGTTCAAGTATTTCTATCAATTAACTCTTCCAAAATTAAATTTAATTCTAGACAGAGAAACCATTCTTGTGTTTTTTGTACCAGTTTATAATTCCTATTGATGAAAAACAACCCACTTTAATTTTTTTAAAAAAATGAAGAGAAATTTGAAGAATTGCTTGTGGATGAAGCTGTTGTTGATATCAGAAGTCATGCCTAAAATGTACAATCCCAACACTATCCCATTAAGTGGAGGTGAGGGGGGGGGTCTCCCCTTCCCCCATACTGATAGATACAGCTTTGTAGTGAAGTTGTGCTAGGAGTAGATGGATAATTGTGGAGAAATGAAATTAAAGCCAAATGTGGGGAGGACACTCTGCCACAAATCTCATTACTTGATTTCTTCTTCCGTCATCCCTTCTCTTTCTCTTATTAAAAAAATATTTTCAGATGGAGGGGTGGTGGAATTTTTTCCGTTAATTTCCAGTAGATAATGGATATTTTTAGAGGGTGGCATCATGTGAGAAAGGCTATGCTTCATTTCTCTATTGTCTAAAAGCAACAACAAGAAATGAGAAATGGCAAGCTGGATTTGAACGAACCTGATCCATTTGACTGTGTCCAAGTTCAAGAACAAAGTTCTCAACTGTTCGTCCATCTTTGTCCCCCCAAAAAAAGCCTTTGATTCTTTAAACTATTTTTTCATCTCTGTAGTCTAATTTTAATTAATTAAAATGGATAAAAAGTTAGAAATATTTATTATAAATTATCCATTAAATTTTTCCAATATTAAATCTATGTTTTTCCTATACCTGGTTTAGCAGTTTCCTTATAATGCAAATCTATATTCTGCCTTTATTTCCAATGAATTCATTGCAGCTGTCTCTTACTATGAAAGCTAGCTGGAACTTTTAGGATGTTCTGGAATATACCAAGTTGGGAAATTACTGATTTCAGTGGGAATTTAGTCATTTAACAAACATGTTCAGGATTTCATAAAATAGAATGGATGCCATCAGATAAAGATACTTCTATGTATATGCTATCTATTACCTATAATAGTTTTAAGTGCATGTGGTTCTTTTACAAGCCATGGCTTTCTTTGTTCTTCCTAATTAAGCTAGGTCTTAAGTATTTGTGCAAAGGGTTAAAATTATCCTGTGCTGCAACCCCCTTTTTATTATAATTATAGCATGCTTGTCTGAATGGTTTCGCAAATGTTCTTTTCAGTAATACTGGTAGGAGATTAAGTAACAGCTTCTTGCTAATGTTTATTGCTCAAGAACTTCAAACACCATTGTTCTGTGCTGAGATTTGATGTGCCATGCATTCTTTTGGCTGTTTGTTCCTCTGATCTTTATATTTCTTTGGCAAATAAAGCAATTGTGTGTGATAGTGCATGTGTGTGCACATGTATCTATATGAGTATGTTTTTTCTCTGCCAGGAACCATTTGAAGTTTTTATTGATTCCAGCTTTAAAAAGCGATGTTCCCAGTGGACAATGTGGCTATGGTTACATTTATTGCAGCAGAACGTAAGAACTTGAAAGCTTCTTCTTAAAAGGTTGAAAAGAAGACAATTTTGTCTTCCTTCATATCATCAAGTTTAATTATTGGCATTAAGTCCCAGTTGGCAAGAACAGCATGTCACATGGATCCATTTCTGTCTCAGGAAAGGTCAGCATATGGCATAAACACTTTGTCTGTATTATGTAGCCTTGTACTCTGATCACATAACACATGTTTTTGAAAGCATTATGCAATGTTATGCTCCTGACTAATGACTGCTTGCACAAGAAGTTTTTCATTAGCCTGAATGTTTATATCCTGGGAATGATTAACTTCGTGACATAATTCTCATCACATAAATATGAAAGTCTCAAACTTTTCAAACTCACATTTCAAAAATGAAGCCTTTTCTTCTTGGTAATGTAGTTCAGCTTCAAAGTTCAGAAAATAGCTTTTTGTTTGGTAAAGGGCATAGATGATTTATTTTTGGATTGCAAAGTATTACACATGATTAATTTTGGAAATAGTGACAATCAGAAGTGTAACTCATTTTCTCTAAATAGTCAGATGTCTTTCTTCAACAATCAAGCTTACCTTAATTGTTTCTGGCCATTACTATTCCCATAATTATTCCAATGATCTTATTTATTCTTGCTTTTTATTAGTCCAGTTGAAGATGCTAAGCATTTACTAATTTATGTGTTAATTGCTGTGTTTTAACTTTGAGGTTTTCTCTGGAGCAGAATAATACATGGAGTGTCTCCCCTTATTTTAACTTAAAAACAGCCCCCCTTGAGATGGGTCCTGTGTCATTCAACAATCTCCATAATGGAACAAAGATTTGAATCTATCTAGCCCATGCTTTCTTTGAACTTATTTATAGCATATCACCCATGCTTTCAGTGATTTCAGGTCCAGTATCTTCAGAATTGCTTCCTCTCAACCCAATTAGTATAAGGTAAAGGTAAAGGTTCCACTTGCCCATATGTGCTAGTTGTTCCTGACTCTAGGGGGCAGTGCTCATCTCCATTTCAAAATTGAACAGCCAACTCTGTCCGAAGACATCTCCATGGTCATGTGGATGGCATGACTAAATGCTGTTACCTTCCTACCAAGGGTGATCTCTATTTTTCTACTCTATTTTTACAAACTGCGAGGTTGGCAGAAACTGGGACAAGTACGCTTTCCCCCTGAAAATAAGACCTCCCGGATAATAAGCCCAATCAGGCTTTTAAGTTCATGTGCTAAAATAAGCCCTCCCTCAAAAATAAGTCCTCCCTGAAAATATTGCAACACAGCAGCAGTTATGAGGTGATCATGCTCACTGTATCCTGCACCTCAAAAATAATAAGACCTCCCCAAAAATAAGGCCAAGTGCTTATTTCGGTGGTCAAAAGAAAATAAAACACTTAAAAGGGGCTCACTCTGTTACGTAGCACTCGGGATTTGAACTGCTGACCTTTCTGTGTCTTACCCACTGAGCCACTGTGTCCCTCTTCAATTAGTATACTAAGCTATAAAACATAATTTGCCACACCAGCAGTATTTACATACCATACTAAGCCAAAACCTAATATCCCAAGATGATTTGGTATTAGACCCTAGCCACTATATCTAGATAATAGACTTCTTAAAAATACCTTTCTTTATATAGATTGGGCTGGTTAGAGCTATTGATCCATCTACTGACACGGGAAGAAGCAACATGCTATCCTTTCCTCCTGCAACTAATTTTGCATATCCCCAAATTACAGAAGATTATTTTTAACTTGAAAAGGGCAGCGTAGTCTTTCCCCTCTTCAGTGAAATGTTTGCTTGGAAAATGGTCACCCTCAGCACTAAGTGTGAGTAAGCATCGCTCACATAAGTTCTCCCTAGGAATTCAGTGGGTCTATTTGTAAAAAGGGTGCACGACCTTGGTGAGAGATGCATTCATATTCAGCTGGGAGAGGCAAGAGCAAGAATGCTACCACAATAAACTGCAGCTACAGTCAAAAGCAAATAAAAAGTCAAACATTGACTTTAAGTGAGTTCTTAGGAATCTGGGCAATACTTCTTCCTGCATTCCAGTTCCAGTAAGCAGTAATAGCAGCAGGGGGGAAAGGAAAGAGTTTTGGTTACCATTGTTTACTAGTATGTGTGCAAGCTCACTCTGTCTCTCTCCTCTCTGGGTCTACGTGCAGAGCAAGCTAGTTTTTTCAACTGGGATGATGAAATACCATGCCTTCCTTCTTGGAATATACACAGATAAGAGGCCACTTGTTATGCTGAAGTTTCAAATGAACTCCATGAACAGTGTCACAATTTGATCAGATTTCTTTAGCAATCAGTTTATTATACCTAAGAAATCTGTGAGATAAAAGAAGGGAAAGATGATTATGTATGTGAGGCTGTGTGTGTGCTGTGTTTTCCTTTGTGGTTTAGCTGTTTTCAGTTTGCTAAATCATGATTATAGAGATGTTAACTTTTATAAAATCTTGCTCTTCTGGTGTACAACACCCAGTACTGTAAAGTTTTTTTTCTTGACCATTATGGCTTTACTTAGAAAAACAATTGCTGATGTGGTGAAGAAAATGGTATGTTACTAGTGGTTATTAAAACAAATTGGATTTTGCCATCTAAAGTTTTCCTAACAAATGCTGAAGTAAGCTGAATCTCGTTATATTAAGGAGACTAAAAGCAATTTCCAAAGATGAGGCATAATTGGTACTGATATACACTATCTGTATGAACTAAAATCCGGTAAATATATTTTGATCATTTGAGCTATCTTCAGTTGCAACCTAAAGGAAATGACCACTCATTTCCACAGTTCATATTCTTCTATGCCTTCGTGATGGCGAACCTATAGTACGTGTGCCACAGGTGCCACGTGGAGCCATATTTGCTAGCATGGCAGCCCTCAGCTCTGGCGCACATGTGCGTGCCAGCCAGCTGATTTTCAGCCTTCTAGAGGCCTTCTAGAGGACCGGGGAGGCCAATTTTGCCCTCCACAGGCTTCAGGAAAGCCTCTGGAGCCTAGAGAGGGCGAAAAACAGGCCCAATGCCCCAAGTTCAGAAATAAACTTCTGGTTGGCCGGTTGGACCTGTTTTTCACCCTCCCCAGGCTCTGGAGGCTTTCCTGAAGCTTGGGGAGGGTGAAAATCACCCCGACTGGCAAACCGGAAGTTTGTTTCCGAATTTCCGGCTGGGCCACTGAGCCATTTTTCGTCCTCCCCAGGCTTCAGGAAAGCCCCCGGAGCCTAGAGAGGCCAAAAATCCCCCCCCTACTTGTGGGTCACTCGTGCATGTGCAGAGGGGGTCACACACGCACACTGTTTTGGCACACCTTTAGAAAAAGGTTAGCCATCACTGCCTTAGCATAACCCCATCAGAAACAGTATTTTAATTAAAGGGCAACTTTTTAAGTAGGGTATTTATAATCATTTATATTAATGCAAATTATCTTTCACTGTTTTGACTAGGAGCTGAGCTTTTAGGACATTAAATTGTGCCCCCAAACAATCCTCAGGATAAGAGCTTTTAACATACATGTAATTTGTTAGTAGCCATATTCTGTACCAAATATAACTTCCAGTTTCCAAAAACTTGTCAGGTAACAAAGACATAGGCAGCTGTTGCCAGGTCCAACCAACTAAAAAATGATGGATTAGAGATAATACAACTGCAAACATGGCCATCTGATAATCCTCAATTGTAGCACCTTCCTTGCAGATTTGCTCATATAGGCACATTTTAATTTGAGCTTGTTTTCCTAAAGCTCAAAATCATTGCTTCAGTTTGTTAGGGTCATGGACCACTGCAGGCCAGAAGAGGCATCATTTACTCTTTCCCTCCCTCCCTCCCTCCCTCCCTCCCTCCCTCCCTCCCATCCATCCATCCATCCATCCATCCATCCATCCATCCATCCATCCATCCATCCATTAATTTGTCAAATTAAAACAAATCTATGTTCCTCATGAAGATTCTGGCAGTGTACAAGCACCAAGCCCTGTGGCACTCCACAAAGCAGGAGAAAAGAAGTGGACTTCTCACTCCTGGCCAACACCAATTGGAACCAGCATAGAAGTGTGCCATCAACTGTCAAGTCAGCCCAGAAGGATACCATTGTAGATGGGATCAAAAGCCACCAAGAGGTAAAGAAGAGTTGCAAGTTAAAGTCTCCCAGAATCATGAGTCTGGGGAACTCCACTGCCAATCCTGCCAATCACCTCCAATAGCTTAGGTTGGGAAATTGCAAAGCAGCGGGGAGACTGGTACGATAGCAACAATCCCAACTGCTCCCAAGAGTCTAACTTCAAGAACAGGGTCTCACAATTGGCAATGCCTCTGATGACTACTAGAGATTCCTGGATGCCCACCACTATCCCTCCTCCCCTGCCTTGGAATCTCGGTTGGTGCCAAAACTTAAACCCAGTTGGCATATTTCAAAGAGAACAACATCCCCAACTCTGAGCCCAGCCAGATCCCAATAATACATAGTAGTTTGGCCTGATCCTCATTTATAAGGTCACAAATAAGAGCTTTGTTGTTGATCAACCCGGCATTAAGCAGCAGCAGTCAAAAACCCTAGGCCGCATTGATCTGCCAGACCTAGGTATGAGTTCAGATAGGCGGAAGACATCATCAGTAGTAAACATTGGGGGCATCTTCCCCACATGTGGCTTCTTTTCTGACTCCTGTCATAATGACCCCTGCCTGTCACCACTTGGATATAACTGCCCTCCCTAACCCTGCCCTCCAGTGACTCCCTAACTTTGGATCTCCAGCTTCCCTACCATTGGGAAGGAAACCTCTACACATGAATATAAAGGCTCACAGTCAACATAGGGGCAGTGGGAATTTCAATTGTGCTTCCCTCTTAGCACAATGGGCATCCAGCCACTATTCCTCTTCATCCAACTCTCCCTTGCTAGATTCTCTCATTGACTAATGGTGGGAGATATACCAGACAACTTCATGCAGCCCCCTGTGCATACTAACATACAAGAGACTCAATAGGAGGAGGACCTCAGGATTGGTCTTGGAGCTTTTATGGCCTGTTGTTTTCCTGATTTGCTGTACTATACTACAAATTCTTTGGGCATGTTGGGAATTGTAGTCCAATGCACTTGCAGACAGCTAGATTGAAGAAGGCACCATTAAAATAAGCATGTTTTCTGAGCCTG